AGGAGACAGAAAGAAACCATTTCAAAGCAGAAGGCAGTAAACGGGTCCCATGCTGACCCGTATGTTGCTTTGCTTTTAAAGAGAACTTGTGGATATAGCAGCATACATGAAAACGGTTTCATTAAAAGCCTCCAGTCATTCATTTTGCTTATTAAAGTCACTCCAGAAGGATACTCACAATGGAAATCTCTGCTGTCCCTAACAATGAAACTAAAATGCAATTAATTCCTCTTCCCAAGCAGTCTATAGGTATGTGCTGGAGGTACTGTGTTAATTGCCACTGCCTCATACCATGCTTTCAATTAGCAATCAAAATGGGAGCAAGACAAACATAGATCTCAAAGTTCCAGGGGACTCACGCTGAAGTTCTCTGCCCCAACTTTCTTTTTCATTGACCCTAATAACAGACGATTCCATCTGGGGAGCTACAGTGACACCCAGTGGCTGTGAAAGAAGGCACACGAGTTACAAAACCAGTATCAAAGAATGAGCAATAATTGTAGAGATGCTGACATATCGTATCCAGCGATTATTAAACAGCCTGGACAACCAGGACCATGTTATCCCAAGTCAAAATGTTCGAAGGTGGTTAACAAAATCAGTGTATTATTAGCTGCTTGGAATGATTTACTCTGTTAAAATTCTGAGTAGTATATGTTCATATTTCTGGGAATAGGATATGGAATTTTAACTATATTGAAAGGTGCATAACATGACATTTGCTGTGTGCAAGTTCAAGAACATGTTATTTCTAGATGACCCTTTTACTTGGTCAAAATAAATATGAGAGTATTGAAAATTTTATAGAAATGGAATTAACAGCAATTTGGGGGGGCTATCATTATGCTTCAGATGGCTAAATGTCTGGCATCCCAGATAAATACAGTTTGGGTCCCAGTAGCACCACCTTCTATTAAGTTCCCTGCTAATTAATCTGGGACGACAGTGCAAGACAGTCAAGTAGTTGGGTATTTGCCACCCATGTGGGAGATTCAGATGGAGCTCCAGGCTCCTTGCCTCGGCTTGACCCTTCATGGCCTGGCTAGGATACAGCAGCCATTTGTTGAGTGAACCAGAAAATGAAAGATCTCTATTTCTCTCTCTCTCTCTCTCTCTCTCTCTCTCTCTCTCTCTCTCCCCTGTGTGTGTGTGTGTGTTTTCCTCCTTCTCTGTGTTGCAATGAAATAAATATTTTTAAAAGGCAAATTTTGTACAAGAAGCATTTGAAATTCATAGAAAACTCTCTGAGAGTCACTATAATGTACTTTATTTTTTAAAAAAAAATTATTTGAGAGGAAGAAAAAAAGCAGGATCCTCATTCACTGCCAAATGCCAAAAACAGTCAGCTGTGACTGCGTAAGGCTGGAGCCAGTGACCAACATGTCAAACAGATCTCCCAAGATCGAGGAAGGAAGCCCACTACTTGAGCCATTACTGCTGCCTTCCCAGGTCTGCACTGGCAAGAAGCTAGAGCCAGGAGCTACAACTGTGGACTCCAAAGTGGGATGCTGGCATCTCAACTGCTAGATTAAATGCCTGCTCAGAGTCCAGGAATACTTTTTTTTTTTCATTTGAAATGCAGAAAGACAAAAAGAGACAAAGATCTTCCACCCATTATTTGCCCAAATGCCCACAGTAGCCAAGAGCTGACTCAGGCCAAAGTCAGGAGCCTGAATTTAATATTCCCCTTCCATACAGACAAAAATCCCAGAACTTGATCTGTCACTTGCTGCCTCATGAGATGTGGGTTAGCATGGGAGCTACGCGTGAAGTTGAGTGGGAACTCAAACTCGGCACTCCAATACAGGACGTAGGTTTTCCAAGAGATGTCTCAACGCTTGTGTCAAATGTCTGACCCTATAAATACTGTTTTTCTTTTATTATATACTACCCCCTTTCCTTTAAGAATTCTATTCTCTGAAAATTTATAGTTGTGGCCAAGGACATTAGGAATGTCTCCTAAACAATGCATAGAGCTGAGTGTCTGGTCCCCTTGGTTCTTGGCATCTTCAGAACTCGAGGAGGTCAGTGACAGTGGTCCCTTCTACAGACACAGGGCATCTGCAACCAGATGTCATATTTAAAAGGAAAAAAGTACTGGTACTTTTCATTTAAGACACAAATGGAAAAAGTTACCTCACAGCACAGATACTGAAGATATACTATAAATATTATTAATAAACAATGCGAAATTTGTCGAGGACACGTCTGTTTCTATGATGCTGAGTCACAGCACTTCAGTGGTGGCTATTTTGTGAAGGTATTATATGGAAGCACTGTAGGCTGTTCAACCTATCACTGTCAGAATTGGAGTGCATTCTGTCTATAACTTTTCTATTTACATAATGATCCAAATGTAACAGAAGAAGAAAATGAACATGGGAAAGCTGTGAAGTTAAAACTTAACCTCATAAGCTTCAGCTGAATGCATGGTTAATTATGACTTGGGACAATATTCTCAAACATTTGATTTTATTTCCGCTGTTTCCACAAAATATAGTGATGGAGAAATGCACGTTTTTTTGAATATTGTTTTTTATACTTAGCAGTTAATAGTATTCAAGCAAGATTTTACAGAACTTTGTGCGTTTTAGGGTTATCAAAACAGTTTCATAACTTTAACAAGCCACATATTAACAATTGAAGAGTAGAAAAGTCTTAGGCAGGTAAGCAGAGAAATCCCCAATAGAAAATTGCACTTGAATGACTATTTGATGCCTACATTTAATTATATTTCTCAAATTAATCCTCAGTGTTCCATTTTAAATTTTTATTTCAAAAGTCTTGTCCGTTCCATTTCTTAATGTAAGTGACACATTCTCACTGAAAAGCATTGCTGGATTTATAGGGCAAGTTTTTATTCTTAAAGATCAAAAGTGTTTCTCACAGGTAAATTATAGTGACTATAACAAAAACAACAACCAAAAAAATTTAAGCTCCCCACCTCCCCCAAATATTGGGGGTATAAAATGCTGTTATTTTATCTTACACTAATCAATAAACAGCTATATTTCTGCTACCATAAGTAAATGAATAATTTTCTCAGACATCTGAGCAATTAAGGATCATGAGCAGACATTAAATTAATCTCAAATGCATGTAGAGCTTAGCCTGCCCCAGGAGGATGGTTCGGCACGTCACACAGGCCAGCATGGCACACCTTCAGAACTCAGATTTTCTCGGCATCAGGCTACTGTGTCTGCTTGCCTGTCACCATCAGCCGGCACCACTTTGCTCAGCAGCTGTCCGCTGGGGAGCTGCTCAGGTTCAGCATCCCTGTGGAGACGGGGGAATGATTCTAGCTTTGTTTCCACAGGCTTCCCCTTCTCCTCCCTGAGGCTCTGACAAGTTCTAGGACAGCAGTCATCAAATTAGACGCATACCACACTATCTAAAGGCCCAGGGAATGCAGGCAGTGTTAAGCAAAACCACTTTCCAGGATCTTTTCAAAATGAATCCTCATAAGAAAACACTCTTTCTGCCAACATCATGTTTTTTTTTTACTCCACTTCATGGGGAAAAAAAAAAACTTCTTATCTAGACCAAACCTTGCTCTTGCACATTGCTCTGGGACGTAAACCCTCAAATGCATCAAACAAAGGAACAATTTTCTAAGTCTGTATTGGCAGCTATGTGAGAAAACAATGGACTAATGGCTAGGCATGAAATCATTTTGCAATGTTTTTTAAACAAGTTGAAGAAACTAACTGAGTTGCTACTGATAAATTAAAGTGAATTTGATGACTTATTACTAAAAATTTAAGCATATAGTACAAAGGAATTTGTGGCAGGCTGAATAGCAATCCCTAAAAGTCAGCCACATTTTAATTTCTGGAATCTGAATATTATATTCTATGGTTCCCCAAACAAAAACAAACAAAAAAGTGGAGAGTCTTTGCAGATATGATTAAGAATTGGAAACAGAATTGTTTTGGATTACTTAAGTGATCCCTGAGTGTTACTGTTTTCTTCAGGAAGGAAGCTGGCCAGACCAGAGGGCAGAGACCTGAGTGGCACAGCCCCATGCCAAGGAATGCTGGCAGCCACCACAAACTGGCGAAGGCAAGGATTGAAGTCTCCCCTGAATCCTTCGGGAAAATCCTATCCCCACGCATGCCTGATTTCAACACAGCAATGATGATGGCAGACTTCTGGCCTTCAGAGTTACAAGAGAACCAACTTCTTGGTTAAGCCACAAAGTGCATGGTAGTTTGTAACAGCAACCAAAGAAGAGTAACACAGAGTTCAAAGGATCAAATGGCATTGCCATAGAAGCCACCTTCTTTGTTATCTACTTATCTGTGAGAATGTTTTCTATCTCTAATATCTGTAAAAGAAGGAAGGCAAAGAATAAAAATCGATGCAGAATCCTGCCTCATTCTAGTGGAGGGATGAATCCTTTACAACATTAAAAAAAATCTTTGAAAACTGCTGCACAGTTCACAAAACAGAGGTGCATTTCAATTTCAACTTTTTAAAAGGTTAATATATATGTGCGTACATTTGTTTTAATATATTGTTTATATATATTTAAACTATACATTTATATATATTTCGTCAAGAAAAAGTATAGGGTGCACTCTCCCATAAAGAGAATCACCATTTTGGGTACTTGTGCTTCAACCAATCCCCAACATAGTCCTAGGTTAAAAAAAAAAAGTGTTTATTTTAGTAAATATTCAGTTTTCATTGTACTAGAAAAAGTCTAGGAAAAGTGTTAGGAAATTTATATATCCATTTGAGCTCTATGTTTTAGTTCCCAAATTATCATGTACCATGGAATGACATGAAAAGAGGTAGGAAATATATAATATTTCTATCCTTGTTTGTATTTGTGCCCCTCTGTGTCTCAACCAACAAGGAGAAATAAAAAAAGTAAAGAAAATAATTACGCATAATTCCCTTCCAGCTGTATTCATCAGGGGATTTTTTTTGTCCAATGATTAATATTATATGAGATGGAATGACAATGATGTGAAACCAGGATGCTGCGTTCTTACCTACACCTATGTGAGGTAGGTGCTCAAAAAGTGTCCAGCTGTGGTCATCAACACAATGACTCCTCAGGATCAACAACTGGCAAACGTCTCTGGCTGTTATGTCATTGGGAACCTCAAGGGCCCTGCTAGTCTCATCTTCACTGTATACTTTAATCACCTGTGTAGGTAGAAACAACAACAACAAAAAAACACTTAATATTGTGCTTTGCTTTGGTTTTACAACAAAGTTTACTGTAAAAATTTAAGGTATTCAATGCATTCTCTGACTCACCTAAATAATTATTTTTGCGTTACCAGATCAACTAAACTTAACCGATTTAACAAAAATGCCAATTATAATACAATAACTTGGGCCTGGTTCATTGGTTCAGTAGCTAAATCCTCGCCTTGCACGCACCGAGATCCCATATGGGTGCTGCTCCACTTCCAATCCACCTCCTAGCATACGTCCTGGGAAAGCAGCAGAGAATGGCCAAAAGGCTTGGGACCCTGCACCCACACAGGAAACCTGGAAGAAACTCCTGGCTTCAGAGAGGCTCAGCTCTGGCTTTTGCAGCCATCTGGGAAGTTAACAGAGGATAATGCTCTCCATCTCTCCTTCTCTATAAATCTGCCTTTTCAATAAAAAATAATACAACAACCTACACTACACATACTGTATATTAAATCTTTAGATTTGTTTTTCCTACATATCTACTCATTTGTGTCCTTTGACCCGTATCCTCACATTTACTTCCACACATCTCCCTGACCCTTGAAGCTATAGTTTTCTGCTCTCTCTCTGTTTATTGGACTTTTTAAAAGAGTACATGGGTTAGGTCATGCATGCAATATTTTTCTTTTGGTATCTGGTAATTTCATTTAGCATATTTCTAAATTAACCATGCTGTAGTAAACAGCAAGGTGAGCCCCCCCCCTTTTTTGGTTTACTAATATTTCATTGCATGTGTATGTATGCCATAGAATACACACACACACACACAGATCTCACTTTATTTATTCATTCATCTATCCATAACTATTTACACTGTTTGTATGCCTTGGCTATTGTGAATAATGCTGCAATGAACATGGGAGTGCAGATATCTTTATCAATTCTATTTCGAATTTTTAAAGCATTCTCCTGATTTCAATAATGGTTTTAACAGTTTACATTACCATTAATAGTGTATAAGGGTATCTCTTCCCATTATAGCCTCAGTAATATTTGTTATTTCTTGTCTTTTTAGTAACAGACTTCTCAACAGCTTTAATGTGAAACCTCAGTCTTTCAACTTGCATTTCCTTAATGATTAGTGATATTGAACACCTCTTCATTTATCCGTTGTTTGCTTTTATATCCTTAGAGGAACATTTATTCAAATCCATTATTCATTTTTAATTGTTTTTCTACCATTCAGTAGTATGAACTCTTTACAAATCTTTTTATCAATCATTATCATACATTTGGCTTTATTATCTTTCATGCAGTTCACAAGTAGAATTTTCATTAAAATATAATTTCATTAAGTTGACAAACTTATATGTTTAGTTAAGCATAAGTCCTTTATGCAAGGAAAATGTGAAACATTCAGAGAAAAATACAATCAGAAGAGAAGCTGAGGAACAGGTATTCGAGCAGGTGCACACCCAACATTGGAATAACTAGGCACCATTTCTGGCTCCAGCTTCTTGCCAATGTCAATCCACATGGGCAAGAGGGAAGCTAGATATGGAGGAGCAGATCGAGTTCCAGACTCCTGCTCTGACTTCCCTACTCCCAGTGGACATCTGGAAAGGGAACCAATAAATGGATGCACATTCTTTCTGTCTCTCAAATGAATAAATGCTACAAGAAAATATGTTTGGTGCAAGAAACTTTTTAAATATGCATTTTTTTCATAAACTATGTTTCAATGTAATTTCTGAGGATTTCTCACATACCTTCCACTTTCAAGTTTCTTATACATTAAATGAAGACTACCTAGACAATATTTACATATCAAAGCCACTTTGACCAACAGCTTTCACTAAAGGGCATTCCATGATTATTCAATACGAACTGAAATAAAGGGCATTCCATGATTATTCAATATCATTTTCCCACCACTATGGTTCTGTTACAAAGCTATATAATTTATCAATAATTTATAAATTTAATTGTTTGATAGAACTGAAATTCCAACTGACAGAGAGGGAGAGTCAGAAAGGTCTTCCATTCAAAAGGATTACTCCCTAAATATTCCCAGCAAACAGGATTGGTTCAGACTGAAGCCAGTAGCCAGGAACTCTATTGAGGGTAAAGCACATGGGTGTCAGGGATCCAAGAACTTAAGCCATGATCTGCTGTCTTCTCAGACACATTGGCAGGGAGCAAGCTGAGAATCAGAAATGCCTGGACTTGTATGACACTTGATATCAGATGCTGGTGTTGCAAGTGGTGGCTTTACCTGTTGTTCCACAATATCCATGACTCATCAATATTCTAAATTTTCCTATCCATATTTAAATCCTGTAAATGATCCAAATGACAGTGATGATTTATTCCCAGGTTCATATCAGAAGTCAAAGCTAGGAACAGAATCAGACTATACAAAAATATCTCTCCATTTCAGCTATGGAAGTTTGGGTAAAGACTGGCTAGCTGTTAATGAAATCTGATGAATTTTAGTCAATGGAATGTAAGCACACAGAATGTTTTGATCCAGGATCAGCTCAAAAAAAGTTTCTTACACATCATATTTCATTCTTTACCCATTCTCTTGCTGAATAAAAACAATAAGTATCCACAGGAAAGAGGAATCTTGTGATAAAATAAATGTTTGTCCCTAAGTGACCATATAAATGATTCCTAACTAGGAAACTAATAGGGTACTGTGACATGAACTAGTAATGAACTTCAATCATGTTAACTCACTATGGTCTAGGACACATCTACCCACTGTTACTGCTAATTGGACAGAATTAGAGTTTCACAATAAACACACCCCTCAACATTTATCAAGCTATGCTGTATGTTAGATTTTCCATTATTATGTTATGAATTATGTAAGTTACTGAAGAAAGATAAACATCTCTCACAATGGTAGAGAGACCAATACAATACAATGCTCTAGAAAGTTCTCCAAGGCTTTGTAATATGCCCCTTGCTGTAACCTCATTTTTCACTTTTCAGTTTGCATGTCTCCCTCTTCAACTATAATATCAAGATTTTTAAAGTCTATTTTCCAGTTTCATTGCATCATCAGGACCTAATCCAGTCAGAACTTGACAGAGTGAGCCTCACACATTCTGCAAGATCATTTAATACAGTGATTTGCACATCATACACACTCAACATGTATTTGTACAAAAGACTCTAGAAATGTTTTCAGACAAGAACTATGTACTTAAATTCTAGTGCTCAATAAATTAAAATTATTGTGAATAAGCAACAGGTATACAATTTTTCATCACAAAAAATCACGGATAAAACTAAAATAGTATGGCAGCTCAGGAGTCACTGAGATAGCATAAGGGCACAAAAGGAAAGTCATGAAAAATGCACCATCAAAATCAGATAATCTTCTCTGAAATTTTCTCTTCAGCTCCTCTTGATTAAGACATATATGTTGTTCACTTTGATGCCACTTCCATTGGATAGGCAGCATTGTTTTTGCCAAAGGCATTTGGGTATTTATAACATCAACTAAATTATCAACTTAAAAACTGGTCTGCTAAGGACTTGGCGAATTTTGAGTCTGATCTGCGGTTGCCTTGGCAGAGCCAGACAATATTTTCACAATACTTATATGGCCTGTGGACCAGACATTCTCCACGTCTCATTTAAAGTCTCAGTACTCTGCTGTACCCACATCTTAGTACATTTTTCTTCTTCAGGGCATGCTTTCAATATTTGTCTCTGTGCTAGAAAATTAGTTGAATTCTAAGGATGCCTTCCCTTACATAGCCCTGCTGCTGTGCTTCCAGCTAGGAGGATCAAGTACCAGTGGCTGCTCCTGGAACTTTTCCTCCACATGCGTGCAATGATGAGTCATTCTTTCAGCTCTCTGCTGTACATACCAGAACAGGACATGGGGATAGAGTAGTGGAAAAAAAAAATGACCGGTGGCTACTTAGAAGGCTTCCTGTACCTCTGTACAACTGCTTTTTAAAAATAAAACAGTAAAGCAAAACAAAACTGTATGGGGCTGCACTGCTGAATGTTAAGCTGCTGCCTGCGATACCAGCATCTAGTAAGAGCACTGCTTCAGCTTCTGACTCCTCTGCCTCTGTTCCATTTCCTGGCTAATGCTCCTGGGAGGCCGAGGATGGTGTGGGTACTTTAGCCCCTGTCATCCGAGTGCTGGACACAGTTTCAGGCTCCTGATTTCTGCCTGGTGCAACCTTGACAGTTGTGGTCATTTGCAGAATCAATCATTGGATGGAAGATCAATCTCTCGCTCTCAACTCTGCTTTTAAACTAAATAGATAAATCTTTTTTTTTTAAAGAAAAATAGAATGAAAAATAGGAGATGTTCCCATATCTATGCTACAAATTCAAAACAACGAAAGAATACAACAATAGGCAAAGTTAGAAAAAAGGGAAAAGGAAAAATTAACCAATTGTCAAATACCGTTATATCATTCAGATTAAGTCACGGCACATTAGAAACAAAGACTGGAATAGATGTGTTTACTCAGTTTTTAAAATAAACACCTGCTGAGAGAAAACATTTTGAACTCCATTTCAACTAGTTACATTTTTAAAAATCTATTTAATTCAGACATTGGTACAAAATATACATTCATCCATGAGTGATACTTTCTAGCAGTAAATTCGTGTCAACTTCTAGATCTGTTTTGTATTATGAAACTTTCTTCCTTTACCAATGGAGTGCCTTTGTTCTTTTTATTTCTTTCTTTCCTTAAAACATATGGAAAAGGAAGAAAAACTAATTTAACCTTTAACTCTCTTATTAGTACTGAACAAGCTTCCTGCCAAAAAACGATGCTTTCACTAAACACTCCCACATAAGAAAAAAATGTCAACCTACTACAAAAGTGACATGATTAGTGTGGATTAAAACTAAGTGAAAGACTTGTGATCATGTAGATATCAAATAACAGAACTGTTCTTCAGAGTCATTACATTTTAACAAAATATTGGCATCCTGTTTCCTCTACATAGGAATAGTT